TATCACTGTTGTTCTTATCCTCACTTGTAAAAAGAAATTGTATATAACTGCTATTCTACAGGTGAAGAAAATGAATTCACTAAAAAGAGCCTCTTGCCCGAACTAATAGTTTTGTTTCTTCATTAACGCCTGATAGCGATTATTCATAAATTTAAAAGTAATCTAACCAAAGCTGATTAATTGCCGAGTACATTATTATTAGCAGTAATAGTATTAACATTGGTAACCATGCCAGTCGTAACACAAATGTAGACAAACTACGAAATGATACCATCTCACAACGTTTATTTTTTGAATGCCTGATTTAAATTTATTGAGCGAACTTTTTTAATGAACAGCTGATAATTTGACCTTGATAAGAATATGACTTCTAGTTGAGGTCATTTTACAGATCGATACTTTTCATTTACCATTATTCGAAGGGATATAATAACAACTGAGGCCTAGTTGAGCGATATTCACTGTATCGAAATTACTATCTATATTATTCATCATATGACCATAATGTTGAACTTTTATACGTGAGTCATACTCAGAGAAAAATAATGCGTGAATATGAAATAAGTCACTGTAGATATCCAATTGAGTATTGAATCATGTGAGTTATTGGATTAAGAAATTATATGCAACTCTGCCCTCTATTTAATTTAATCTTCATTGTATAAATGTAATATTGTCGAAGTTCTAAGCATTCGAACAGGTAAGCGTCTAAACCAGTGAATATTTAAATAAAAGATATTGAAGATCAAGCATTGAAATTATGCAATCGAGTTGATATAAGTTACAATGGGATTAGTACTTACACTTGCTGAAAACAATTAGTTCCCTTCGTGAATTTAGACACAGCAGTAAGAAGACGTAATTTGTCTGAATCGTATAATGTATTTGCGGAACACATTTCGAACAATTTCCGAGATAATTTTATAAAGCTTTGAAATTCAGCAATTTACAACCAAATATCTCTAACCTTTATCGTCTTACAAAGTCATATATGGAAAACGTTAAACAAAAGTTACAAGGACTACTTGCTCTTCATGCCATTGCATCACTTATTTTATCTGAAATATCAATAAATTGCTACATGAAATTTCGTCAGTTTTGTAAAGACGTCACTCAAAAAAAAATAAATAGTGAACTACTAGAAATTTCAAAGACTCTTTTTTTGTTTTATTAGTTTAGAAACACTCCCAGAGTGGAGTGAATACAAAAAAAGTTAAAAAGATAAATGAAGGAAAAAAAAATATTTTTTGGTACCTCATTGATAAAAAATTGTGGTATTATTTAAAAATAAAATAACAAACATTATTCTTAATATATTTACCAAGTTATTCAATCAAGTTCATTAGGAGATATAAAATAGTCAGAACACCAAGACCCAGTCTCCAACTCACCTTTAAGAAACACGTATATATCAAGCTACCCTATATGGGTGATCATAGCAGCTTGACAATCAGACAAAGATTGAACGCTGCTGTTAAATAGACTTTTTATGCAGCTAGGATCATAATATGAATGTGAAGCCAATATATTTATCTAAGTCCTTTGAACATGCGAAAAATGATGTCATATCCCACTGTATTTACCAATTTGAATGTACATGTGGACACACTTACATGGGAAAGACTCATCGATCTCTGCAAGTAAGGGCCACAGTGCATATTCCTAAATGGTTTCAGAAACAAATAGAATCCCCAGAAACCATTAATGATGAGAACAGGAGACCTAGCTCCTCTATTGCGAAATATATTATAGAGACAGGAGGTAAAATTGATGTTAACACGTCTTTTAAACCTATCTATGAAACTTATTTGGGGCGTATCCTAAAGTTTGTGGAATCTCTAGCTAGCAATTAGGAAGTTTAAACCACGTTTATGCATTCAAAAACAATTCGTCATCACACTAAACCTCCCTTGGTAAACTTTGTTTTGATACCAGCCAGGGTAGATGTTCTGTTACCTCTGTTAACTAGTTTAGTGGTCTTCATTGTTATTTCGACTTTCAGTATGTCCTTTTAACTTGACCTAAATTTATTTTCTCCCCGCTTAACTCTATTAGTTTCATATATATATATATATTCCTAGGAGTTATATTTATTGGTTCTCAGCTGTATCACTCAGCCAATATACAGTCAGTAATCCATTCAGCCTAAAGGGAAAGATTTATGATTATTGGCATAGCTACTAATGGTCATTAGTTGTGGTATTCTACTCAGATTAGACTAGAGTTTTCACTAAACAGTTTATTAAATAGATATTAAATTGTCAACTTAAAGTGACCTCAGATAGTGTCACCAATGATTTCAGTACATCTGGTGTACATTATAAAGTGCTGCGGTATTAATGACAAAAGAGTTATTGAAGACATAGCGGTTAGGACTCTCGTCAACCATGCATATGGTCCGAGGTTCGAGCCCCCGCTGACGCATACCTGATATCTATGGTCGGCCTGCAAAATTTGGGCTACCGATATGACATGCTGAAAATTCCATACTTGTACCAAAAATCCAGTGTGGAATCAACCTGTAATCAATATAAAAAAATAAATTGAAAAAATACAGCTATTATACCCATTTCTTTTCTAACAAAGTTTCCAACCCAAGGACTGTTGTCTACTGAGTATAATTTGAGGAAAAAACACCTTGTGTATTTGAAATTACATCAGTAAATTTTAAATCAGATTTGACATTAGGAGAATTTAGACATCAGGAAGCAATTATAGAGATGTGATTCGCAGGCTTAAGCACTAGCATACCTACCAGTGGGTCCCGCGTATGGGTCCCCCTTCACCTAAATCAGCGTAAGCAAGTTGGGGGTATTACTAGCCTTCACATAATATGGGATTTGATGCCCAGTCCATGAGAAGCATGCTACCATCCACTGAGTTTCTTGCAGATTCTATGTCTAAAAGACAAAATGAAAGCCATGTCTGCAAACTGTCTTCTTCACATCAATAAATTACCTAAGTGTTCTAGGATTGTTTCATTTATACACAAAATCCTCCATCGATAAAATGGTTACTATGGTTGACATCAACACTAACACAGTCATTTTCAAGACAAAATGTTTCACTGCTATTTTTATATTCTAGTCGCACAGCTAAATTTTAGTTAACATCTATAGAAGAATGTGGCTACATTAGCCAAATAATAGTGACTTTTTAAAATTTTCTTTTCTTTTGCTGAACTGATGATTATCAGTGACTTTTTGAAAATTCGTTTGTAGTGAGAACCTCATGAAATATTCGGTAGGATCTAAAACAACAAAATGACTCTTCAACCAAATATTTAATGGATCCTAGCAAACATTAGTGTCTGTATTGGCGTGCAACCCTGGAATCCACCATTAGCCACTAAATATATGCATTAATTATAAACATGGTTCTATTTCTCTCTTTTTAAGACCACAATTTCATTCCCAAAATTTTTCTTGGAGACTGAGTTAGAGTGTTTTAAGATTTTAGAATCATTTCCGTCAAAGTTGTGATCATAAAGACCTGACACTAAGTAGAACAAGTAGCTAAAAAATGCATATACATCTAGACATTGTCCATAAATTGATGAAGTGGACAATTAACCGGTGAGCTGCAAACATCACTCTTTATTCAAACGAAACAGAAGAATTCGATACAGTGCATGGAGGCTTCTCAAAACTACAGAACTTCACCGGACGGCGATAATATACGACAGTGTGCTTAAACAACACAAAGAAGCTCTCAAATTGATCATCCTAAAAGAAAAACTCAGTGAAATGATAAAGACAGATGAAGCATAATAATAATAATTTTTCCTTCACATTCCCAGTGGAACATAGGGCCTCAAGCTAGTGACTTGAAGTTTCTGTAGCAGTGTTTATTTTTACAGGGTGGGGTTGCTAGTCTCATGCCCAACCTTTCCCCGTTACCAGCACTATTTCTGGCTTAGCGAGGTAAAGGTGTGAGTCGGCCGGGGATCGAACCCCGGACCATGTGCATGGTCGGCAAGCGTCCTAACCGCTGCGCCACCGACGCACTGATGAAGCAAAATGCTATGCAGAAATCGAATACAATGTTAGCTCCAAACAGCAAAATCAATAGAGTGTGAGGGACAAGATAAACCAACTCAGCTTAAAAAACAACACTTTAAAATTAGTCAAGTAAAAATATACTCAACTCTCAAATGAGAGTAGTATGAGAGCAATCAACGTAATATCTTAGTGTTTTGGTGATTCAGTAGTTGAATGCTCGTCGAACACGCCAATGGTCTGAGTCCGATTCTCTGACAATGCACTCCTAAACCTGGCTTGATGTGTAATAAGTCTGATAAGGAGGAAGACTTACGACACCACTGCTACTGAAAACTCAAAGCTCAGACTAGAAACCCTATGTTCCACTCGGAACACAATGGACTGAAAAATGTATAATCTCACTGGTACACCATTCAGCTAACGATGAATACCGACCATGCAAATAGTTATTAAAAGTGTGCTAAATTCATTCCCTCGTAAACTGACACTGGAGATTGCTTCTAGGCTGGTGTTATAAACTTCACCTGAAAATACCCAATTTCCGGAAGGAAAAAAACTATCATGACATCCACATTTCAAGGCACAACATTTTTACCACTATAATTTAACTAGTGAAATTATCTTCCGCTTGGGATGTTATAAAATATTGATGCAGCTTTGTCCTTTATATTTAAAGGAATCTAATGAAAACAGTAGAAAAAACCAGACACATCCTTTCGGAATAAACACTAGTGGGAAGTTACATTTCACTTTCTATCACTAATCTAAGATTTTGTTTGGTGACAGTTATGCAAGAACCTATCATCTTATGATTCACGTGTAAATGACCAATACACACACGATATTTACAAAACCATGACTTCCCGTCCATTAATATCAAAGCCATCACGCTAATAAGAAAATGCTGGCCACCCACGCTTGAGTTTGGACCAATGAAAACATAATTCAAATATTGACCTTTTTTAGTTGACCAATCAGTGACTAATCACTTCCCTAATCCTTTCACCCAATGGCTTATATAATTCATGAAAGCTGATTGTTAGTACTGTTCACATCATTCTAATGGGTGTCATCACTGCATCACAGTCGACATGATCGGCTCAGAGTTTATTGATTACCTCTCCAAGTTTCAGGTTGCCACTTATGTTGGTGTTGAGGATTTTGCGGACAAATTTAATTTCATCATAACAGTTATGATTTTAATGCTGTGTGCTACAATTGTTACCGTGAAACAATATATGATGAAGCCAATTTCATGTTATATGGCAACAGATTTAGGCGGGAAAAATCTATTGGATTATGTAGAAAACTACTGTTGGGTCCAGGGTACAATCCCTATAACATATTCAGGAAAAGTACCAGAAACAGATGAAGGCTGGGAAGAATTAGAGAAACACAAACTACGTGAGTTCTACAGTTTCATCTCTTTTTCATTCACTATTTTTACAGTAATAAGCTGTTTATATATACTGGTCGTAAATAGTGTATTCATATTGTCCTAAACTTTTTTCAAAACATCATTAAGCATTGTATAAAGGTTAGATTATCCAGGGGCTTAAAGTGAAAGTGCGTTTTATGCTAGCAACTTATAGTTCAGCTGTTCTCATTCCTATTTCCCATTGTGGTTTTTATTACTATAGGCATGCTTTGTATACTGTTTTACTGTCTACAGTGTTTGCTTTAATAACCATCTCATTTACCCGATTTACGTGAGCAAATGAAAACAGAATATCAGCTGCGAAATAACACATTCTGATGGGTTGGTAAAATACACTATTTGAAGGGGGGGTGGTAGTGCTTACCAGTATATTATGTCAGTAATATGAATGTTTCATCCTCTCATTATTTCTGTGGTAGCACCTATAGGGTAGGATATATGGACGTAGCAACATAGCACGATTAATTTACTTGTCGACTTTTAAACGAGTTTTGTTGCATTTTGCTTCATTCCTGTGAATTCTCTTTTCGTTAAGCTAAAAAGCGATATCGGTGTACAAAAGATAATGCATATATTGTATTCATTCGCAGACGCTTTTGAGACTCAGTTCCTCTCTCATTGTGGCCATAAATTAAAGTTTTCTATGCATGCTGAGGAGACATCCCATCAAGTATTTTAATTTCATGTAACTGTTTGCAATTGTGAATCATTTTCTCTTTGCCCATAACAGCTATTATTTAGTAGTGAAAATGAATTTGATTGTGATTTTGATTTTTATGCCAAACAGTCCGATTATCCACAAAGAATTAGCTGTATTTTCATTCATCCTTTTGTATCAAAAGGAGAATTATAATATCTAGTATTTGTCAAGTTATTAGGAAAAACTAAACCGGCGTTTCAACCCAGGACCTTCTGGTTACAAGGCGAGCTAGTAGACTATTAAGTCACTGGGACCGGATCCAATGGCCCATAAATTTTAACTTCCGCCAATTCACGATATGGCGTTTACCACTTCACAATGTCTTCTATGAGTAACTGTCCTCACTTCACAATCTTCTGTACCCACTACAACCCCAGTTAACTGCCTGAATATGGCCAGTCACTAGTGAGCATCAGATCAATTTTCATCTATTGGTTTGTAGGGATTGTGTGTGATTGGTTGGAGGATTTCATCATGATCTGATATCAATAACCATAAGGTCCTTGGTCCGAACCCCGGTGGGTGCGTACTGTGAGGAGTCCCAAACTAGGACGAAACATCTGCCCAATACTCCCAGGTTTTTCACTGGTCTTCTAACTGATGTCAGCTCATGAAGAAATCGTCCAACCAATCAAACAAAAATCCCCACAAATCAATACTTGAAAAAATTAAATGGTTTGATAGTCTTGTGTCATGAAATACAACGACAAAATACCAAAAGTATCCGTCCATTTCGTTAAGTTTCATCCCACAACTGAAGACTTTTGAACACATATTATTTGTGTGACTTTAATTTCTATATTTTGATGGAGAGAACGATTTTAGACTACTGTTTGCCAAAAGCCTGACGCAAATCGGTCTGTACTGTTGTTTTCTAAGTAGGTAGGTTAGCAATAGAAACAAAGGTACCTAGACAGCGGTTTCGTTCTCAAAGATATTCGGTTAAAATTGGCTATTCCTTTGCGCATAAACTTCGATGGGTTAAAAACAATCGGTACTTCTGGTGAACTTGTAGCTCTTTTAGTTGTGTAAAAAAACTTGTGGGTTGAATAAATGACCGTGAACCTCATAAGTAAGTGGTAGCTACACTGAGTAGTCTTCATCAGCTTTTGTCCTTCATTTTTACTGCCACACTGTTCGACATTTGCTTGTCATTAGATCTACACAAACAACCATTTGATCAAAATTATTGAATGAAGCACTTGGAAGCAACTCGAGTTGGAGTTACTGTGTCATTTCATACTGTGCTTAGGTTGTGTTCATTGTACGACCTTATCACTATCAGTAAGATACCAAAATCAAGTAACTTTTAGGTGCTGGCTTGCTGACATCAATTAGAGGACCGTTGGAACAGTAGGTGTTACTCCACAACTGTTTCGTCCTAGTTTGGGACTTTTAGACAGTACACACCCACCAGGGTTCTAACCCTGGACCTTTCGATTACAAGGCTAGCTCGTAGAAAATTCAGCCACTGGAGCCCGACCCAATGATCCATGAATTCTAACCAAGTCAGACGAGAAATGTTACTCGCCTATGACATTGGCAGGCAGTAGATTTCATGAACCGTTAGATCGGGTCTCAGTGACTAAACGGTCTGCCAGTTCGCCTCGTAATCTGGGTTCGAACCCTGGCGGTGGGCGCGTACTGTTGAAGAGTCCCGAACTATAGCGAAGAATCCGTCAAGTGATTTTCGTTTAAATTTATCACGCATATTGTCAGGTTATTCAGAAGACATGGTTATGATTGGTCTAGTAAATAAACACAATTATTCCAATGTATTTGAATAGCCCGGGAACATATCTGATACGATTAGTCTAACTGGATAACACGTCTGGTTTGTATGTTGACTAAGCAGCGTATTTTTTTCAAATAACCAGTAGATGAAGCACTTCGGACGAGATGTATGCTTGTTAACATTTATCACACTAAACAAGCCTTTACTGTCTATAACGGTGCTGTCTAGATTGGTACAGAAGGCTTCACAATTAATTTATCTAGATCAAAAAACTTAAGAAAATCAAGATCGTGAACGTAAAGAAAGCCTTCAAAAGGCATTATTTGAAAACATACTGAGCACACTTAAATTGTGTTTTTCAAAGTATAAGTGTCATGCTCGTTATTGATAGTATATACATTTTATTTTCCAATTTAACACGCGTGTGTATGTCATGTTTAGTTATGTTGTCCTTACCATACCCCAGTAACCTTTTGTGTTTCTGTATTGGGAGCAGTGCTCTATTTTCTTAAGTGTGATTTAGTTCAACGATGATACACACGGACATTTGAGTTTGGATATTTCTATCTTCACTCACTACTCAATGCTCACTAGCATACCGCAAACACTTAGCGTTACTACAATGTTCCGTGATTGCACAGATTATTCTTGCTTTATGTTTTCTATTTAGAATCAGCATCATTCCTGTTTTGAAATTTGAGTGGGTTTTCTCTGAAAAAAATGTAATAACAGTAATCTTCGATGATAATTTAGATTTATAAATCTCTTATTCACTAGCTATGGTCACTAGTTTTCAGAATCATCAAACGACAACTTAAAGAACTAGGCAGTGCTATCATTATTTGAGATATAGAAAATCTAACTAGACTTATGTTAACTAGCTTGAATGCCAAAGGTCACTTGTAACAAGGTGGTTCTGAAATTCATCCTATAAAATGATTGTTTTTGACAGGTTTTACAGTGGTTTCTCATCATGATGTATGCCTTCACACATATTCCTTAACCTGTACTTCCTACTACTACTTTTGAGACCAATTGTGAGTGTCCATTAACCAAAAAAATCAGCAGCGATCCTCAACAAAAGACTGAGTACGTCCCTAGCCATCGGACAGCATGCTCTTTGGTGCAGTCAAAAGTTGACAGATACCCACCCTTCTCATGTTAACTCCAACTGTGTATACAAATTTACATGTATCAGCGGGAGCAGTTACATTGGGAGAACAGAAAAAGGGGCACACCTTCGATTTTCTGAATTATTACAATTTTTATTATATTGGTGCATTGAAGTTTCTGTAGCGGTTTGGTTGAGTTTTGGGGGTGGAGTTGGTAGCACCACGCCCCAACCCTCCCTCTTTATCCAGGCTTAGGACCGGCTAGAAAACTAGCGAGCTAGTAATCCAGGCGGGCATCTTCGATTCTCGATTTTCTGAACATGAACCAAAAAGCCTACGTCTCAAGGGATCAAACTCTTATAATAGTGTCATTACTAGGCATCTCCTTGACATGGGTCATGAGGTGGGAATCGCAAAATCCTGTAAAATTATCAATAAACAAAGGGGCTCGATTCTCCTCAAGTTTTGCCAAAGTAATTTCTATCAAACGCTTGAAACCCAATTTATGTGTTTAGAAACGAGCAGTTATCAGTCTTTCCTTACCCTGGTAACTGGGTGTCTTTATTCTCTCTTTCATTTGCTTGCGCAATCTTCGGCTTTAAACTCACCCTTCTGATATAGTGTAATTTCGCTTGTCTCTTGTTTCTATGATTTGAGTTGAACTCAGTACATTATTACCCAATTTATTAGTCACTCATCATCTTGCGCACCTCTCATCTCTATTACGTAACTCCTTTGCCATTGTATGCATACATCTACTCTGTTTACACTTGAACTGTCTGTGTAAAAACCATATAAGCGTAATTTTCTGAGCACTGTTCACTAAGTCCACAACCTCCTATCAATTGACATCATGTAAAATTTGCAAATTTTTTACAAAAATCTTCTGTACATAAATTTAATAATTTATTCAGACTGTAAGCAGATGATGAGAAACCAACAAAATAAATGATAGTAACATATTATTCTGCACAAACCACTGTTGTTCTTGCATTATTCAAATTCATTAAGAGGAATAAATGTATGAAGTTTCATGAAAAATCAGATTCATTTGCATTAAAATAGACCGAAAACAAACTGATGAGATAAATGATAAGTTGCGAACTGACAGATGTTAAAATTCATCGAATATTAGATCCCGTCCCACATGTCAGCTGGTTCACATCGTTACCTAAATGTGTTAGGTTCACCCCTGATGGGTTCATTGGTATATGCAGTGGAGGAGCTCTTAACTACGACGAAAAACCTGTCCTCTATTCTCTGGTTTCACCTAGTCTAGTCCATTGCAAATCATTGGAAAATTACTCCAATCTTTCCTTTACCACCTGTGTCATTCGCATTGTATATTACCTACTGACTGGGTTTTTAAATCATCATGAGACATGCATTTTAGCGGACAGCATATTGTTTATTATTTATATGACCTTTGTGTACTATTGAATAATACATGCACAAACTGAAGATCTTAAATCTACGTTTGTCTGGCACATTCAGTTCACTTATAATCAATGCTTTAAAAAAATAGTTTTAGAAGTACATTTTTAAGAAATATTCATTAATTCACATGATTTGTGTGAATGAATATTAGCGGGGCGATCGATAAGGAGCGGAAAATGACCTTGACATTGTTGAACACGTTTAACAGCTATTTAACAACAACAATAAATAATAACTTAGTACGTTATTTACTAGACTCATCGTAAATTTTATTATAGTTTTAAGCTGTTATTTGTGTATTGCGAAGTGACTCAACAATCATTTGTAATTCCACACAGTTCTCAATGAGCCGCACCAATTGTGTAAGGACTAGTAATACTAACTGGCTGACCAAACCAGAATAGGTGGAGTGGAGTTCGAATGTATTACCCACTGTTTGAAAGCCGGAACCAAAGTGTTACAGCTCTAATATTAGTGTATTCGAGTGAAAATATCAAAAAACTGTTTTATCCTTTAATGCTTACTGTTGTATTCAGATCTCCTCACAGAATCTCATCTGAACTGGTAATTAAGGCCACACATGTTCATTATTACTTTTTAGGCTTATTCTTCAAATAGGCTTCTACATATCACTCGATGGGATGGCGAGTTCAGGATGTTTCACCTACTGTAGCTCTACAATAAGAAGGTAGTACTATATACCGTTTAGTAATGAAATGTAACTCATAATACTCACAAATGTGCCAGACTGAGTATTGTATTTGTTTGTATCAACAGATTTACATATTAAACACTCCTCACTGGTAGTCACGTAATTTATCTCCTAATCTTTTATCGTTCACGGTAGACTACAATCTACCATACCACTTAACTAGTTACTTATCTTAGTACCAAACTTTTTGAATCCTGGAGGTCGTGAATTGTAATTAGTATTGTTCTCAGAGCTGGTTGGTTTGGTTGCGGAGCTTTCGTCGTCCCCCTTCTGGACAACATCTTCAGCGCAATTTCTAGCATAAAGTGAACTGATTTAAATTTACCATGAGTGATAGAATTGCGTCTCCCAGTAACCATCTTTACACATGAATTGATCATTTTCTACTGACTTGGAGTTTAAAATTTCTGGTCACATAATTTATTTTTTATTAGTTGGTATATTTGGTCGATATCAACATGTTTGTTAATTGTATATTCGTTTAAGTACCAGGCTTCTAGGAATTCCCTGACATTTCTAGTGTTTCCTGTGTCTAAGATTTCCACATTATCCCAATCAAACTGATGTCCATAATTATCTATTTGCATTGATACGAAAGAGTATATATCATGTCTTTTCAAGCCAGAGGAAGTGAAGTGGTAGAGCACGTTGACCGCTTCACTTATTTGGGAAGTGCCATCAGCCAACGCCAACGGGTTGATCTCTGACAAAATCTCAGCACGGATACAGAGGGTTAGTTTCACATGTGCCAGTTTACGCCGTGTCTGGCGTAGACGTGATATCCAACTATCGACCAAAGGGCGGGTGTACTGCTCATCAGTCCGCTCCGTCCCCCTTTATGGCTGTGAGACCTGGCCATTGAGAGTGGAAGACATGAAAAGATTAGCTGTCTTTGATCATAGGTGCCTGCGCTCTATTTCCCGTGTGAAGTGGTATAATAAGGTGAGCAATATTGAGGTTAGGCGTCGAGTTCTAGGTAAGGAGGGGAAATCAATCGACGAGGCTGTGAAGTTACATAGACTGAGATGATTAGGACATGTGTTACGCATGCATGCCTAGTCATCACCTTCCTCGACGGGCAATGTTAGCTGATATAGAGTCAGGCTGGAAAAGAGATAGCGGCGGTCAAACCAAAACATGAAGGCATCAGTCAATGAAATCCACAACAGTTAGTTTAAGCCAAGTAGGAAGGTGTAGACTTCCTGACTGGTTGGGGTCCTCGGGACGGTAAAAACCAATGGTCGGAAACAATTGGTGACATGGCTCAAAATCGTTCTAAATGGCTGGAGAAGATGCATCCACTCCTTGTGACTTATGATTTCCAATAAAACTATATTATTCTTCGTTATTACTATTCCTTTGTCTCACACCTCTGTTTACTGTCTCTATTATGCATTTCCTCTACTTTCTTCTCTTGCTTTGTGTGCTCCAAGGAGAGAGTGTGGCAACTTGAACTGGTGCACATCGGTGCAAATTTCTATGTCGAAAACAGATAGACAGACAGACATGTCTTTTCACAGCTGATTTGTGCTCTTGGATTCTAATTCGAAAGGGACATCCACTTTGGCCGATGTAATGCCTGTTACAGTTCATACAATTTATTTTGTAAATGGTACTTATTTTATCTCCCTTTTCTTTTGGATCTTTGGATTTGCACAATATCGAATTAAGTGATTTGACTGGCTTGTGTGCTATATCTATTTCAAAAGGTTTTAATATTCTAGCTGTTATTTCAGAGATATTTTTTATGTATGGTAGGATGAATTTTCTTATGCTTTCTAGTAACACTCCTTAGTCTTGTTGTTAATCGTTATTGTTATTTGTTCATTACTCAATTAGTTTATATAGGAGAAATTAACTTGTTCTATTTTCTTTTTGATGTTTACTTATTTGCACAGTTTATTATCAATGGGTGCCATTTGTACTTGGTCTACAGTGTATTATGTTTTATCTACCTCGATTAATTTGGCAAATGATATGCTACAATAGAGTTGGAACAGATGTACAACACTTAGTGCTTAGCGCTAATCAAGCAGTACACGCTAATGAAGAACAAAGAACTAAAATGGTACAGCATTTAGCAAAGACATTAGAACAACTATTATTCCAGGTGAGCTTTGTTTTACCTTACCTTTATCCTTTTTTATGCCAATATCAATCGTGAAATTAGTGTTCTTCCAATCAGTTATCAATCAGTCTGATTGTTATGGCATTTTTGTGAAGGAAACATATTTGTGTTTCATAGAGTCGTATTTTCCAGTCTTTTTGTTCTTAACTATTATATACCAATTTGTCTACAAAAACAGAAAGTTCGTGCACCTTCTAAAAATGTCATCATAGTCACGCAATCTTTGATCCTAGTGTCCTTTGACCTCTTGTCAATTCGTTATTTTTGATGTTTAGACTATCTTCAAAATGACATAACTTGTCAGGATTCTGCAACAATGTGAAGACTGACTAGTTATAAAGCTTTCGCTTTAAAAGTTCGACACAATGGAATTCAGACCCATGGTCTACGGTTTTAATTCCCCTCCTTATGACAATTCGTTGTACTGTTTTGAAGCATTTGAATAATTCGTCTGTAAGTACGATTTCATGTTCTCATTGTTTATCTTCATGAAAGAAGGCAGTTACGCGTGTAGCGTACTTTGAAAATAAGATATGTATCTGGAGACAGAATGGTGAGGTTCGTTTCCTCCGGTGACCTAATATTTAACAAACACCTTAGCAAAAATAAAATCATTGTGTTCACTTCTGAAGAACTGGAGTGTTTTCAGGAAGGAGGAAAAATGGTGGACGCAAAACACATCACACTAAAGGGTTACATCACTTTATAAGCTTGGCCGGTCGATCTCCATTAGTGTTCTCTTCAGTTGTACATCAGTCTTTACCTTATGATGAATAATCGGTGAAGAAAACAGTGTTTTCTCTCTTATTTTACAGCTTATCCATAACAAGATAGTTTGCACCAAACTCTTCTCAGATACTTTGTGTATCACACAGTCATCACGATAATTTTCTTTACATAGTGTTGATATATAGAGGTGAATGTCAAGTCTCATATGAGCGCACTGAAAATAAGACCAACATTTTTGATCAATGTTTATGTCTATGATTCCTCTGAAGTACAAACCCCTGTGTGTTTGGGTAGCACTTGTTCCAAAAGCTCTCTTCTACTTATATGAATGATTCCAACGTGTAACCCACTGAGTGAGACTATCCTATAGGCAGCTTGCCTTTCCTTCTAATAGTGATAATAACAATAATACGATCCAGTTCTTCTAGGGTTAGAAGATTCTCTGAAAACTTATAGAGTGGTTATTTTCTTCTAAGTGTTCCAGAATACTTCTACGACATTACATGTAGATATCAGATTAGGAAAGAAGACAGAGACAATAGAAAATTCCTGCCTAGAAGGGCCTTGTAAAACGAAGCCTTCGTTATCCTGCACATAACTGACATTTGTAACAGATCTCCAGTTATTTGCTGCTTACAGTTTTCAAGGGGTTAGGCGACCATCAAAAAGAGACTTATATAAAGGTCACTGAAGAACCATTCATATTTTTATCACTATTGACACATTATTATCAATCAAAACGCCTATTTTATTTTTAGTTTATATTCAATAAAACTGATCAGAGTATAAATAAAATTACAGTAAGTTTCAAGCATCAACATGACTATAAACTTGGAATGCAGTTTCCTCATCTTTTTGTTACGCTTACTGAATCATTTGATAAATAAACGTCATCTAGTGAACTTATCATCTTCATTCCAAGGTTTAAATCATCGGTGCTCATTGTAGATGGTAACCGTTTGCTACTTTCCATTGACATTTTGTTTTCATGAATGTCATCAGAATCTGAAGCAAGTATCTCTGAAATGTACGTACAAGCAATTCAAAGTTTAAAGGAGAAGGCGAACATGAAGAGTTTCGACTACACGTGTTGTTATCAATTTTATTAAGCTTACACGTCTTGCTTACTAGCAGACATGATAAAAACTAGGGTCTGGCATTACTGTATAGTGAGTGGTCCAGAGAAGTCATATTTTATATTTGCACAACAGACAGAAGATAGAACAAAAGCAAATTAAAGGATGATGGGACGATCGATTGTCATACAGCGTTGTGAGACAAAAGACACAAGGCCAAACTCGATGTAGAAATGTGTCATTGCAATTAGGATCATCTGTTTTGCTTCCATGGTTTTCAGTCATTTCGCCTGATGCCTCTGACGACATCCAGAAAACACACACAATTCAAAGTAATATATAACAGGAATACCTGCGGTTATCTGACGTATAGAGACATCATACTGAGTATCTACCAGGCGATGGAAAAATTACAGACTCAATTATATAAAGCCTGCTGCTTACTATTTGTGGTTTAAATTTTCAAGCTTTTACTGTCTACAAAAAGTGAAATTAGTTGATGAAATCTCAAATATTTATTTCTTCTAGGATTTAGCTTTCCTCACTACTAAAGTTTGAATTTCTTCAGAGTTGTCAGATTTCAGAAAAATAAACACTATAACTGGGTGAGGGATAAACAATTTGAAAACTGTAACTATATTGGTGTAGTCAAAATGTCCACATTTTATGTAGCTTGTTCATTACAGATGAATAAACATTTTTTTCACTGTTTGAAATTGCATTTAAATCGTCATTTCTTGATATATTATCATGTGTCAAAATTGTCTCAGTCCTCATAACTGCCTCTGTCATACTGCTTTTACTGACGTTTCACTGTTTGCTAGTCATCTTTTTCTATCTTCAGTGTTTCTGTCTTAAACATGACCCACAGTTATTTTCTAATTGAGGTTGTCAGCCGGCACAAATCAGGTCTTCTTTAGTTCTGTCACTTTACATAAGTGACGCTAAGTTCCATTTTTAAAGGTAATCAATTTTTCGTTGAAGATTTATCGTAGGACTGACGTTTCAAAATAAATGATTATTTGTGCTCGTATGGGAGGGACTTTGTTAGACTGACTGGCCTTTGGATATCTACTTGCAAGATATTCGGAGTTTAGTGAACACTTTATTCTAACATAGTGAAGCAATTACATTGCTTTGGGAGTCGTCTAACTAAATAATAGTCAGTCCAGCAGTTTAATGCTGCGGTTGAAACCATAGCAGATGACGTAACAAAATAAAAATGCATGATTAACAACTTTATTCTAAACATTGGAAGTATGAAATGTTTAGAAATTATCCTTGAGTCTTATCTGAAGTAGAGTTAAGTCTACTCAGGATAAAATTAAGCATGAGTCTCTGAAACGTTTAACTTTAGAAAAATGTGAGACACCTAGCTGAGTTCTTCATGATATTAAGAATTAGTAATTAAAGGTTGCTGATTATGTGTACCACAACCAATCAGAATGGTGCAGATGTATTTATTTGTCATCCATCATCTCTGAAATTTTTTAAATATTAACGCTAATCTTCGTGTCATTATTCCTAAGCCTATCATAATCATTTTTGTCCATTACAGTATCATTCACTTTCTGCTTACAAGTTGTTTGTGCAATGCCCTCGAATGTGTCAACGTGGTATGATGCTTTTTCGTATATGGTTGTTTGTTGATCTATCTACATGCGTAGAAAGGTTATTAATTTCCACGGTGTATGCCATGTGTTACTCATTTATTCCTGCTTTGAATTACCTTCATCTGATTTGCTTAATGAGTACCCTTATAATTCGTTGAAAATCCTTTGGGATCCTGTCTTACTTATTCAGTATCCAACTGTGAATATTTGTTCTTTTACCATGTACTGGCTGTTTGATGCTTTAGGGCTCAACATAGTTCCTATACCGATAATGTGATTTTTTGCACTTTTATATAGACTACTCAAATTAATTACAGTAGTGTATTAATATTGCATATGTATCAGGTAAACTGGTAATGTGAATTGAGTGAATAACACAGAGTTGATTACATCCGTCTTTCACTGCTTTAGAAAAATATTTTCATTACGAATTGTATCATAAGAGGTGAAGATTACTTTTTTAAAGAAATGGATTAACTCATTTGACTTGTACATATTTGAGTTTTACTGTAACTGTAACAGTTGAAAGGCTCGTCTACCTTTAATGTTCGGGAAGTGATAACTGAGGTCACTATGGGCATATGATGAGATTGAGATAGTCATGATTTGGTAGACTCTTATTGGTACAATGGTTGACGACAGAAGAAGAAGATGAAATGAAAATTTGGGTCGTGGGTGGTATGGTTCGAACCAGCAGCCTCCCAATTAGTAGTCCATCACTCTATCAGCTGATCTACAAACCCCATTGCTAACCAGGTCATCATTTTACCGTGACTTTTAAAAGCAGTAGCCATGTAACCATCCATTTATCATCAGTCCAACTGCCCAATCAAATCTTCTCACATCAATCCTAATCATACTGAATAAGAAGGAGAAGAGAAGATAATTAATTGATGTCGAAACTATCTGGAATAGCCCTATTCAGTTAGTAGACTGCTGTTGATATCATGGGTGGTGACTGCAGAGAAACGGTAACCTGGTTAGTAGTTACTTCTCATAGATGAATTAGTACTATTCCGGATTAGTAATTCAGAGGCTGTTGGTTTGAACCATCTGTTTGCATATTTTACCAACTAACCTATGAAGTTTAACTGCTAACTTAACCTTCAGGCTATGGTTTGATTCATTTCCTAAATTCAATTATTATTATTCTCTTCATTATATTAACACCCGATATATGATTAACCTTCAAATAGTAATAACTTACTGACTGAAATTAAGAAAGTCAGAAAACAGCTAAAAACTCTCTACATATATACGGTATGCATTATAATTTACCATGAATTCAACAGAAAAGGGTCTATATAGTAAAAATACAAGTTCACCGATACAATGAAATTTTCCTCTTCTGCATACAATTCATTTCTTATATTTTAGGTTAAGTACGAATGAAATTTGTGTAGGCAAAGGATACATAAATAACAAACAAAGCTGTAAGCAGTAAAAGTATTTTCTTCGGTTCTACTGATACACTAAACTGAATATATATGACTAATATTTCTAAATACAAGTGGGATTTCCCTTAAAAATTGTGTAGACAGCTTAAAAGTTGTTATTTAAGAATTGGTGGGATAGTTTACATGATCTATTTTCACTTTATTATATTGGAATTAGCAATCATGCATATTTTAAAAAAATCCAAATTATTATTGAAAAAGCATGAACTAATGGTATATATATATATATATATATATATATATATATATATATATATATATATATATATAATTTAGTATACCTCTATACTGCCGTATTAATTGGGTTGATGAAAGGAAAGATAACTTTACACTTTTTGAAGAGTAGTATGTCATGTAAGCGTGTGCGTCGGTAGCTCATTGACAGAATGCTTGCCAACCACGTGCATGATCTAGGATCGATTACAAGCTGACAAACTTCTATGGTTACCTAGTTAGTCAGTCAATAGTAAATAGCAAAAAGAAGGAAGGTTAATTGTGGGGCTGGGGCCCTGTAGAAACAAATCCACTTTTATTGAAACTTTAAACTCCTTGAAGGTCTATGTTTCACCTGAAAGGCAAGGAATTAAAAAATACCTTAAAGTACACATTTATTTCTTTGTTAGTTTAAGTACCCAAGTAAGGCGATTTCACATGGAATTAAATTGTATCTAACGCTTTTTGTAAAATTTTCCCGATACGACTTATCAAAGTTCTGGAGTAAGCAAACTTTCTTATCCGAGTTCACTTAATATCCTCATACGTGTGAATCACAATGACCTTATGCAAAAGTAATAATCTGCTTTATTCTTATTCATCATTATGCAATAGTTCTGTTATGTTAATTTCGACGATTAGACACATAACAATATGATTTTCAAGTGTTGGTTTGCAGGGATTTGATTGGTTTGAGGATTTCATTATGAATTGACATCTGTTAGAGGACCACTGGGAAACCTGGGAGTACTGGACAACTGTCTGATCCTAGTCTGAGACTCTTCATCAGCACACATCCACTGAGGTTCGAACCCAAGACCTTCTGGTTACAAGGCGATCTCGTAGACCATTAAGCCACTGGGACCCAATCCAATGTTCAATGAATTCTAACCCCTGCTTATTCATGATATGGAGCAACCACTTGCAAATGTCACTGCTGGAAAGTATTTGTCCTCACACCCGACCTGTTGTACCCCATTGGTCACGCTAGTGGTAGCACAATATCGTGAATTAGCAGGAGTTGAAATCCATGGTCTGGTCACTGGATCGAGTCCCAGTGGCTTAATGATCTACGAGTTCGCCTCGTAACCAGAAGGTCCTGAGTTCAAACCCTAGTGGGTGTGTACACATGGAGTCCCAAACTAGGATGAAACAGCTCTCCAGTACTCCAAGCTAGTTTTCCACTGGTCCTCTAACTGATTTCAGTGCATGATGAAATCTTAAAATGGTTTTCAATTAATTTATTGATAAATTCAGCTGTCGATTAACATTCCCTCATTTTACTAAACCACTTTTCTAACGTGCATTGGCATCACACATGGTTGATAACATACATAAACAAAAAACTTGTACTAGTTAATTAAGATACCCTAGGTCATGCATTTTTACACCCTGAAATGATCCAATATAAGATGGTGATATAAAACTTTCTCTAGTTTCC